AGTTCATCCCAGTGCACTTTTCTAGGACCCCGACTCCAGCTCTTGGAGAAATAAGGCTCAGTACAGATGACTCATTAAAGAGGATCAGTCATTTGCTCCAAAATATCCCTGGCTTTAGAGCTGCAAAGATCGTTAGAACAATGTGGAACAAACTTCTCCGGTTACTGATGAGGAAATAGAGCAGGGGAAATAAGGGACTTGATCAAGGTCACGAGGCTAGATCTTACTCCCTGGAGCAGCTTTTTTCCATTGCATCATTCAAGATAGGACAAACTGATTTTCCAGGAATTCTGATAAACTGGAAAAAAAAAGATTAAAAAGTAGCATGCTGGTTTAGAGCTCAAGTTCTTTCCCGTAAGGCAATATTAGGGCTGTTCAGCTAGATGGTTATTTTATGGGCATCTATGTTTAAAAACATAGGAGACCTAAACAATGGCAGGAGCTAAAAACTTGGATGCTGCAATATCTCTCTTCTGTTGCTCTCAAGAAACTTGGGTTCTTTCAGGACGGAGCTACCGTTACATTGATTCCCACCTGTTCTTTTTCCGGGGGCCCCTCGAGTCGGTGATGGAGAGCCTGATGCTGAGAAAATCTTCGGAGAGTAGGAGAAGCAGCAAACACCGGTTAGTTTTCTCTCTTTAGTGCCCCTCCCATCCCTACAGCAATACATCACATGAAGTTTTGTCATGAGGTCACAGTACAACTAGAACAAGTCTTAACCATCAGCTCGGAGTGCCCTGGTGGGATGTCACTGGCCAAAACCCAAATGTTTGGAAAACACATCCACTTGACCTCAAAATCTTGGGAAAGGAACACACTCTGCTCTTCAAGAGTTCCTAAAGAATCCGCAGACACAGTGTCCAAGCAATAGCCTAAGGTTCCCCCGCTCTCTGGGTTCCCTCACAAGAGGGGTGGGAAGGATCAGCTTTCCTTGATCTTATCCAACTCCGGTGCTTTGTAAACTGCAGGTGCTCAATAAAGTGTATATGGTTAGTTACTGGAAAGAGCCTCGGGCTCTTTCAAGGCAAAGGAGCTTTTCTTTTTTCTTTTTAAACTTATTTATTATGTACACAGTATTCTATCTACATGCTAGAAGAGGGAACCGGATCGAATTACACACGGTTGTGAGGCACCATATGGTTGCTAGGAATTGAACTCAGGACCTCTGGAAGGGGCTGAAGAGGTGGCTCAGAGTTAACAGTTATTCTTAGAATGACCCCAAAGCAAGGGGTGTGCCTCCTCCTCCCTTTTAGCAACAGAGGTAAATGTGAGAGACAACGTGAGCCAGCCCAATCAATCCCACACCACGTGCCTTCTGCCGCCAGCTCCTGTTTGCACACCAAAGATGAGAAGATGATGGAACAGCGTCGTAGTAAACCATAGTAAAGACAGGAGGGAAAACAAAATGGGGCATGTCACATGGTCGCGACCTGAATTTTTCTCAATTAAAAAGAGGAGGAAGTGAGGCGCTTCCGGCGTCTGTCAGCCCGCTGCTGGGCCTTTTTCATTTTTGGGACTCTGGCAGAGACGCATTAGACACGGAGAGCATCGCATCCTAGGCTTGGGGGCAGGAGGACCTGAATCAGCTCGGAAGCACCCACAGGGGTGGGAGAGCTTCCCCAGCTTGGCCCCAGCCTACCTCCTCCCGCCCCCGCCCGGCCATCACTCATGCTGATTGGCTCTTGCAAGGGCCAATCGGCACCTGACATCCGACCCGCCGGTCTGAGAGGCGGAGGCTCGGCTGCCACCGCCAACCTCGAGGCCCGGGAAGGGGCCCTGTGTCCCGCGAGGACGCGAGGACCGATCCAGGCGGGGGCGGGAGCCTGGAGGACCTCCTAGCGGCCCTCTCTCACACCCCGGGCGGAAGCGGGGGATTTGAAGAAGGGGGACAAGAGCCAAGCGAAGGGGAGGTGCAGGCAGGAAGTGGAGGTGACCCGGGAAAAGGGAAAGTGCCAGGGCCCCGCGGGTCTGCGCCAACTCCAAAGGCCATGGGTGGGGAGCATCGAGGGAGGAGGTAAAGAGAGGCAGCTGTGGAGGCGTGGAATCCTGGAGGTCTCAGTAAGGAAAAACAGGGACGGAAAGGAATGCCAAAATTCTCAGGGGGGGGGGGGGGGGGGCTTAACAAAAGGATGACCAAAAAAGAAAAAAAAATGAAAAGAAAAAAGAAAGGAACCCCGGAGGGATGGCTCCGGTCTGTGTCCGCAAACGTGTGCTCTGGTTACCAGGCTACAGTTTCATCAGTATAGTCCAATCTAAGGCAAATGCTGGTTACTGGTATTGGGACCATCGTGCTGCCCAGAGGGTTCTTTTAGCAATCCTCTTTGGGCTCTGGGTTAACCCGATACAGACAGTAGGCCACAATGACTGTACTAATGCCAGGACCGTGCACTAGGACGTGGGGACAAAGGGAATGGGAGAAGAGGGAGTGATCTTTCCACAGCACAATCTAGCAGTTCAGAACTTAAGTTAGAGGTGACCCTGACATGTACCAAAGAAAAGAGACCCAGAAAAGATTGTTGTTGAATCAGTCAAGTCCTGAGCACGGGAGCAACGGGTTTCACAAATGGCTCTCCTTGAACTGACATTGAAACAAAGTAAACAAGCTGAGGTGTTTAAAAGAGGGGCTCGGAATGTGCGCGAGCTTGCACAAACACACACTGCACGCACGCACGTGCACGCACACACACACACACACACACACACACTCGTGGCAGCTGAATTCCTTTAAGCATGTTTTTCCTGAAGCAGGGGAAGTAGCAGCCACAGCAAAGGTAGGAGAGGTTAAAATAGCTAACTGATAAGTCACTGTGAGCAGAAGCTGTTTGCCACTGGCAGAGATCTGATTGCGCTCAGCTTCTGATGATAATTGACTAGCAAATAAAACCTTTAAACTTAGCAAAAGCAAGCACAATTGAGGGTGTACAAGCACCAGGTAGCACTAGGTGCTCTGCTTAAAAAACACACTACGCGCACGCACGTGTACACACACACACACACACACACAACTTAGATAACACATTTTAGAAGACTTCTGGTATTTGGGAAAGTATGATCTATTGCTATTCCAGCACTGTAACTGACACGACTGATTATTTTGGATTATCATATTTTCCCTAAAACAGTTAAGAATGGAAGGTTGAGCATTAAAGTCTTGGAAAGGGAGGGAGGGATTTGTGTGTGTGTGTGTGTGTGTGTGTGTGTGTGTGTTTTCCACATAAGCAGGATTTTTCTTTTAAATTCCTTTTTAAACAATGAAGATTCTGTTTGGTCATTTTGTTTGTTTCTTCAAAAGACCAAACATTTTTTAAATCAATTTTGTAAAACAAAACATATACAAAGCAAGAAAGCAAACGGGGGTGGGGGGCGGGAGTCTTCTTCCTTTATCTCCTGTAAACCCTAAATTTGAGCTTTGCTGGATCTATTTGCTTCAGACTCTTCTTACTCTTTGTAAGCAGTTTACAAAGCAAGTATTGCAGGAATCCCAACTCTCAAAAATCACGCTAGAAATAACCAGGAATATTATGTCGACAACAATACACTAAAAATCTCTGTGCCCCAGTGATAAAAGCAAATATTGATTTAAATACCAAATAAGTGCTTTCTTTACATCACAGAAAAATCTTAGTTTTAATGTTCATGTGCCTCTATTTGGCCCTACAAAATAGAGAATGATAGTTGTTGGAAGCAGAATCAGGACCATTTTGAACACATAATCGTTCCTGTTATTTATTATTATTTCCTATTGATAAAAACCCAAGGCACAAATTAATTTATTATGAATAGAGACTTGTTAAGAAAAATAAATGCTTTTCAATGCTCTTTCTGTGAAGCATATATAAAATTCACAAGGTAATCAGTTGGTCAGGATAAACTGCTTCCAGTTCTGGAAAGTTCTGAGTTTGCCAACTCATCACATTATTTGGGAACGACACTCCCCTCCCCACAATGACCACCAGAAAATAGGCTCACAGAACGAAGGGCAGGGTAACTTCCTATTACAAATGTTTCTCATTTCAATACAGCCTTGGCCACAGATGACCTAAAGCCAACTTTCAACATCTCCGAGGCATCGATTCATGAACTAACAGGAAAACAAATAGCCTATAAAGGAAGACCACACAGATTTCCCCTCCATTCAGTGCAAACCAAAACAAACACCCTCTTCTCCCTGACTTGATGCCTGTTCATTTCAGTAGAAAAACATTAAGCAATGTTATAGAGAAACGTACAGTAGCCCCCAAACAGTATGCATGATGCTTCAGTACAAGAAAAGGAACCGCAAGGCAGAAAGGCTGGGGTGAACTTCCACGACTCTTAACTCAGAATGGGTCCCAGGCACGTGGTGTTTATTGTATATTCTGTAGAAAAGCAGCCATGCCTGCAAGATGGTAGGTCCGTGTGTGAAAAACATTTCATGAATCCTACTACACGAACAAAAAGAAAATGTCCCCCACAATTAAATTCCTTGGAGATCTGAGATAGGTAAGAATTCCTCTCTAAATACGTGTGCCTAAAAAGCTCTTACTCAGGAATCTTTTTTAAGACAGTCTGAGTAAAAGTCGCTGCTGTTTACACGGCCTTGGTATTGTGAAATCACAGGACACGAGTGCACGCAGAGCCCCTCAGCACTTAGGATCTTAAATGAGGCCATTTTAGGCTGCGTGTTAGCAAGCAGTTTTGTAGAATTGTCCCTATGCAGGGCTGGCCTGAAAACTCTGATATGAAGGAAATGATTCTTGACAAACCTCCGGACAGGTGTTAAAGAGCGCTAGTTCTTAAGTGCTACAGAAGCTCCAACACGCTTCTTGAACTACCTGCCAGGTGTCATCGTGGGGTGAGCATCTGTGTACCCCGACTCAATGACCCCATTCCCTGAAAGTGTATCCTCCCCAAGGACACTGTGGAAAGGAGTGAAACGGGACAGAGGGAAAGAGCAGAATTCAAGCCCCCACGTAAATAAATGCACTTGGGTCGTCTGACTTTGCCACCATAAAACACACCTGTTGTGATGTCCAGTTGAGCTACTGACGGTCCTCTGGCTGCTTCTGGAAGCTGATGCTGGCATAGGTGCTTAAATCCTCACTGGAGCGTCTGGGGGAGCTGCCCTCATTGCTGCCTGAGGGCTGGTGAGAGGGAGGGGGTGGTAGGGGCTGCTGTTGAGAAGGGCACTCCTGAGGACGCTGTTTCACGTCCTTGGCCAAATCCAGGTCTATGTAGTTAAGACTATTCTCCAAACCCCCAGCAGCTCCACACGCTTGAGCTGTTTCCTTGGAGGCTCCCCCTAGATCCCCAGGTCTCAGCCACACATTCTCAAAAGATGCAGAGCTGTGGCGTTTTACATCCTCGCTGCTGCCGCCACCACCACCACTGCCTGCTCCTGCAGCCCCTGCTCCAAAGGACACTGTGTTACCAGCCCGAGTTGGTGCTGAGAAGGTCTCGGAGCTATGTCTCCTCCGGCAGCCTTGAGTGTCTGCACGAATCACTTTGGCACTCTGGTTATGATTGGGACTGAGATTCACTCTGGTGAATGCACTCACACCCCCAGGTCCCTGAGGGCCTCCCAGCAGGGAAGAGTGAGCAGCCTGCTCAGCTGCTCCTTGAGGTGCAGCAGGAGAAGCCGAAGCTGCAGAGGATGAAGATGGAGCAGCCCCTGCGGCTCTGGGCAGGCTCACCTTCTCTGCAGCAAGGCCTGTCCGCATATCAGCATAGCTGACTGGGGCCACTGGTGAGGTATCCACATAGCTTTGACGAGGACAACCTATCTGCATGGTCATGTAGTCACCACGACTACTTGGCACTGACCGGGTTGGCCTGCAAATGTTAGCAGCCCCTGGAGGTGCAGGGCCTACTCTGCCCAACTCAACGCCACCACTCTCCTGCCAGGTTGCCCTCCGGCCTGGCCCCAAGTCCATGTTCATGTACTCTTCTGAGCCAGTCTCTTCTCTGGGAGCTGGGTGGAGCTGGGGTGGACACCGAACTGAAGGAGAGCTATGGGAAGTCGCGGGGCCAGCTAAATAGCCAGGCTGGCCACTCCCGAATTCAATATTCACATATTCCCCTGGGCTCTTGGGCTCAGGAGGGTGTAGCGAAGGCTGCTGCGGCGGCTGCTCCCGAACCCGCGGTAAGGTGCTTGCCTTGGGATCTCCCAAGGACAGCCTTGTAGGCCGGGCCAGGCGGTTGTTGGTCTGTGCAGCTGTGTCTACCTTTCGAGGCAGATGGGGTTGCAAGACATGGTGGTGGGGATGCGTGAGGCCAGACTCCGGCCTGGCCGCACAGTAACTCCCACCTAAGCTGTCACTGCTGGTAGAAGAGGAAGAATCTTCTGCAGTTGCAGTGTAGAGAAGGCGTCCAGAGCTAGAAGAGAGACGAAGATGCTGGTGCCTGGCACCCTCCTCTGGCTCCCCAGGGCGCTGGGTGTGCTTAAAAGACCTTGGCAATGAGTAGTAGGAGAGGACTGGTTTGTGCTGGGGATTGTCGGGACCGTAGTAGCATTCCGAGGGGCTGCTGGTGTTGGAGTCTCCCACGGGTGACATGTTCATATAGTCGCCTGTGCAAGGCAAGAGCTTACCGCCACCACTCTCAACAGGGGCTTTGGAATGAGGCAGGGCATGAGGATGGTGCCCCCCTACTCCATTTGTCCACGGCTTCCCATAGCTGCTCCCAGACGGGGCGGCACTGCTGCTGCTGCTGGAGCCACCACCAATGTCAGGGGAGCAACTGCCACTGGGAGACATCATCATGTAGCCATTGGGGTCCACTCTCTGAGGGTGGCGACGGATGGGATTAATGATCTGCTGTGGGGCAGAGACACTTTTGGGGCTCATGGGCATATAGTCCCCATTTCCTTTACGGTTGCTGGGGACTGGAGCCACCCCTGGAGACATGGGCATGTAGCCGTCATCGGTGTGCAGGTTAGAAGTGTCCGGTCGGTGGTGGCCCCCGCGACGCTCCAAGGGATGCATCTCTAGACCCTCTTCGGGATAGGAGTGGGTGGGCACGAAGGCAGAATGCCGATAGCTGGGCAGTCGGCCTCCACTGCCACCTCCTGGTGGGTAGGCAGCGGGCATCATCTCCGTATACTCCTCAATAGAAGCCACAGAAGACTGTGAGGGGGTCTTCTGATGGGAGATGGTAGGGGACGTGCCTGCAGAGTGAGTTCTCTTCCGAAACCGGTTATCCAGATCTGCTGCGCCGGTGGCTTCATCCCCAGTCAATGCCGGGCTTGTCCCCAAGTTAGCACCTGGGAGGTAGCGATGGCCATTACCACCCCTAGACAAAATGTAATGTCCATTGGGAGCAGTCAAGGTGGAGGCTCCCTTGCCACCCATGCAGATGTAGTTGCTCAGCTCTTCCTCACCCCTGGCTGGTGGGGTGTGACCCAGGGAATCTGGGGTGACGCTGCGGAAGGAACTTCGGAAATCGCACGGACTAGAACCATACTCATCAGAAGAGATGAAACCGCCATCACTAGGAGAACCGGACACCGAAGCACTGGAGCGCCTCGGGAAGAGACAGTCTGAGGTGGAGCCATGGCCACTGGTGCTACTGGATGACAAACTGACTGGGCTGGTGGCTGAAGGCGAGCAGCGGGAAGAAGGCATAGGGATGGAGCGGCTGTGGTTGAGTGGAGGGTGAAGCCTGGAGCTGCCTCGATGCCGATGGGCGTGGGTCCTGTTGGTGCTAGGGCTCACAGGACTGCCATCCACTGATGCTGGACGGGACATGGTGCCTTCGCCATCGCTAGAGGCGCGCACCCGGAAGGAACCTGGTTTCCCACCCACCATGCTGGCAGGGGAGGTTGCAGTGATGCTCTCGGTGCGAGATCGGCGAGTCAGGCCCACCTGGCTGGGTGGAGGATTGTTGAGATGGTGCCTGCGAAGGGGAACACTGATGGGGTTGGAGCAACTGGATGAGGACTGGCTTTTGCTGCGCGGGCGAAACTCATCGCTCATGGCCCGCATGGCCTCTAGAATGGTCTCGTGCATGTTCTGGGCTACCACGGAGTCATCCACTTGCATCCAGAACTCGCCAGGCCCTGTCACGGCGGAACGCCCCACCTCAATGAAGAAGAAGTTCTCTGAGTGGCCACAGCGTCTGATGTTCATTAGCTGCAGCACCACAGCCGCTGCCTCGGAGTTCAGCTTCACAAAGCTGATGGTCTTGCTGGTCAGGCAGAGACGGTAGATGCCAATCAGGTTCTTTGTCTGGCCCAGGCCCTTGGGTTTCAGGATAACCTGCCAGACCTCCTTGAACGCGGGTCCTGGTCCAGTGTCATAGCTCAAGTCCTCCCCTGCTTCTCCGACGCCAGAGCTGCCGCTGCAACTACCACCGCAGCCTCCACCTCCAGCCCCGTCATGGTGGGCCTTTGCTCGATTATGCAGCTGCAGAAGCGCCTGGTACCAGCTGTCTTGCTCAGCCTCGCTATCTGCCGCAATGGCAAAGTGTTCGTCTCGGGTGTAGAGAGCCACCAGGTGCTTGTTCTTGGAGTCAGCCCGCTTGTTGATGTTGAAACAGCTCTCGAGGGGGATCGAGCGTTTGGGGGCGCTCGATTTATGCCGCCACTTCTTCTCGTTCTCATAGTACTCCAGGCGTGCCGGGCCCCCGGTCTCGCTGGCTGCTCGCAGCACGAAAAAGCGCTTGTGCATACTCTTGGGTTTGCGCAGGTAACCCACCTTGCGCACGTCCGAGAAGCCATCGGTATCCGGAGGGCTCGCCATACTGCTGCGGGGCCGAGGGAGGTGCCGAAAAACTGGGTGGGGGGAGTATTCGCGATGCGGCCCCGCACATGCACTCCGGGGCTGAAGGAAGCAGAAACCCTGATTCCGAAATCGTCGCCGTTCCCGGCGCTGAAAAGGGGCAGCCGAAGGGCGAGGTAGCTGCGCCAAGGAAGATTGCCCGACCCGAGTTTAAGGGCGTTTCATGCCCAGAGGGGAAGGCAGTGTGTCTAGGGTGAGTGCAGCCGCAGTCTTCTGAGGAGTCTCCGCAGCCCAGAAAAAGCTAAGATGCATCCCTCGCCGCCCCTGATCGAGTCCGGTGCGGGGAGGCAGCAGCGACCGAGGAGTCCCAGCTTGGCCCTTCAGGCGCGCGCGCCTTCCCTCCCGAGTTCCCCTCTGGAAGTAGCGATTCCCGAGGCAAATTAAATATCCTTGGGCAGGGGGAGGCGGGCTGCCAAGTCCCAACGTTGCACGGGGTTCTCCCTCCTCCTTCTCCTCCTCCTCCGCCTCCTCCCACCCTCCAACCGTCCCCGCCGCCACCAGCCGCCCAAATACCAGCTCAATCGCAGAGACCGCGGCGCTGCGGCTGTTGCTGCTGCTGCCGCCACCCGAGGACGCGTCCACTGCAGCCCGCACTCGAGCCCATCTCGGCGGGCGGGGAAAGTGGCTTTTCCACGCGCAACGCTACTGGGCAGCCAGGGGAGCAGGGGACGGTCCAGAGGGACAGACTCATCACTGCCCCAAGCTCCAGTCCGCGAGGGAGGAGGGGAGGGGACGGGAGGGGGGAGGCGGCGGGGAGGGAGGTTTGGGAAGAGAAAGGGGAGGGAAGACTCCCTATCCTCCGGAGGCGCAGCCGCCGCAGTTACTTCTCCCTCCTCCTCCTCCTCCTCGGAGAGTTGCCGAGAGCCCCAACCAAAACAAGCGGCGGCGGCGTCTGGCACCGCGCGCCGGCCCCCTCTGACCGCGCCGCCGTCTCACTCCCGAGGAGCAAAACACGTGACGGAGCCTCTGCTCTCTGCAATCGGGCCACGGCCGGGAGGCTCCAGGCAGGGTCTCTCCCTCTCTCTTCTCGTTCTACATTCCCGGCCGAGCCCGCCCCGCGCCCGCCCCTCTCCACCCCCTGGCCGTGCCGCAGAGGCGCCCGCACCCGGCCTTTGCTGCAGCGCTCAGGCAGCGCCCCTGCGTGGCCGCTAGAGCCCTGGGCGCTGCGCCTTCTATGCCCGAGCCACCCATGGCGCCCCCGGCTCGCAGGAATCCCCGCGGCGGGAGGGCGGGCGTGTTTGGGTGGCTACCGGAAAGCAAGAGGGGAGTCTGGGAAAACGGGAGGGGGCGATCTGGGGAAGACGCAGGAGTGAGGGTGGGGGCAGTTGGGGGGGTGCACTGCGGCTACAGAGCCCGAGTGGGAAGGCTGGGGAGGAGGGGATCCGGATGACCCGCAGCCTCTCACACAGGTAAAAGCGACCCCTGGGAGTCAGCTGGAGGTTGGTTTCTAGGTAAGAGCCCTGGGGAGAGCCACATTTTTGTAAGGTTTTCTAAAGGACTTCTAGGCCAGCCTTCCACCTGGAATCTCCGGATGTGCAGCGGTGAAGCACCTGGAAGGAACACAGAGGGATGCCCAAGGACAACGACTGTTGCTGGTTTAGGGTCTCTGGGAATCAAGACCGGGGATCGCACGCCTGGCACTATTGAGATTAGCAACTGATCAGTTAGGGAAGAAATAAAATGTAAATGTCACAATTCCATTCCCTTCGTGCACGTGAACTGGAGTTAATACTTATGGATTAGGGCAAAGAATGGGGGTGAAAGAAACCTGACACCCCTTAACATGTTCTCAAGTCTATCTGCATTAAAAAAAAAAAAAGATGGTAATGACGTTCAAAGAGTTCCTAAGTTACAATCCTAACTGTGTACATATTACCAAATGTTTGTTTCATGGTTTCCACGCGCAGTGGACGACCCAATAAATTTTTAACCTTGACCACAAGGATAAACTGTTAGGTTGTACAGGAAAATGGGTACTTCTTGATGAAAACGGGTCAGCAGCCTAGTTGCAAAGCCTGTTAGTCTGTCTCGCCATAAACAGACACTCCCCAAAGTTTTTATTTTATTTTTTAAAGTGACCTATAAATCGAGCAGAATGTGTCCCTGTCTTGCCCAACTGGCATGAAAGACCTACAAAGGTGACGTTGGTCCCTTGCTTAAAGCCACCCCACATTAGCCCTGGGCGGTTCTGGGTTCCACCTCTTTTTTTTTTTACACCCCCCCCCCCCTCCCCGCCAGAAACCCTCTCAGCCTCCAGCTCTCTGGTACTGCAGAATGTTCACAGGGAGACGCAGCAGTAAAGGTGCTGGGCATGCTCAATCCACTAGACCGCCTGGCCTGAAGTTGGGGGGGGGGGGTATGGGGGGAGTCAAGGGCGGGGGTAGCGCGCCTTAGCCTAATGTGGGGCGAAAGGCGGGGTGAGTTTCTTGGGGCAGCCTGCTGATTGGTGGAGCTGCCTGTCCTTCCCGTCTTGCACAGATGCAGTAGAGGGGAGAGAGGGTGAGGGTACCTACGAAGGTGCCGGCGCCATTCAGAGACTTGCGGTAATTGATTTGGGATATCCCGCATCTGCAGATGCCACCTCCTCACGAAAGCCTGGGAGCCTCCGGTTTCTCTTTGCACTCTGTCCTTCACCACACAGGTTCTTCTCAACCTGGCTAATGTATTATCTGGGTACACATGTTGAATTGAAAGTCCTCCCTTTTTCCCTCTGACAGCTTGGTGATGTGGGCACACGTGGCTATAAATAGCAAGTAATTTGGAAGTGGTACCGAGGCAGCAATAGCAGGAATCGGATTCTGAAGGTTTGAAGGGGGAGGGAAGGATGTGAAGTAGAGATGCCTGAAGTTAGTGTAACAGAGTAACCCTGGGAGGTTTGCGCAAGCCCCATCCACCCACCAGTGAAACAAAAAAGAAACATGATAAACAGCTGTTTGACAGCAAGATCTAGATTAGGCCAAACGGCCTTTTATAGGAGGGGGCTTGTGGTTCGCGTTTTGCAGTAAAGCAGTTCAATTCCGTAGACTTTCATTTTTAAAATTACTTCTTTCCTGCCCTCCATCCCCAACCAAGATCAAACAAAAATAGAGAGGGGGAAAAGGATGTACCGCTATGAGGAAAACATACTACTTTCTCAAAGGAGGGGACAACCGAAAGAGCAATTTATTTTGGAAAATTTTTACAAGTCATCATTCCCAAAGGTTAGGGCTTTGATGATATGAAAGTAATTGTTATTATGGCTGAAAATAAAACAGAACAACTCCCTTGAGGTGTCCAAAGACCTGGGTTGGATCCCTAGTAACACACACACACACATACACACACACACACACACACACACACACACACACTAGAGTTTTACTGCCAATCTTTAAGAAGTTAATATTTAGATTGTAATACAAGAAGTTCAATTTTGTACTTTTTTAATTCATAAATTACTGTAACTCTGGAAATGCAAATTCACATTTGATTCATGAGAATATACAGAAGAGGAAAGGAGTGTTTTGTGGAATCTGAGTGAAGTCATGCACTACCCTGTCACCTTATGCTAAATTAGCCTTGTGTATTGCAATGAAATGCTCTCTATGAAAAATTTACACCTAACAAGGAGATTCAGACTGGGCAAGCAACTGATTACCAAAATAAATTGCTCAATACTGCCATCTCTAGGACAGTTAGAGACCACTTGTGAAGAGAATAAAGGAAAATTACACTTTAAAACATTGACTAGAAATATTTCCAAAACTAAATTGGCATATTGATGTCTTGAATACAGTCATGACGGTGGGAATTAAATTTTATATGTCTTTGGTGCATATTTGATTAACATATCTACAATTACCCTTAAAGTGGGAAAATGGCATGTGTATGAAGTTATCAAGAGAATCAAAAAGTCCAAGTTATTACATATAAATTAAATAACACTGAAGATATAACACCTCATTTAAAAACTATAGAATCATTTTATATGAACACCTTTATGTCAGCAGACATGCTGATGGGTCAGCACTAAAGAAACCATTGGAATCTCAGAATTAATTTTGGCAATTTGAGACAATGCTGGAAAAAAATGAAAACCTGTGGATTTTTTTTACTGTAGGACTATTATTATTTTAATATACATGCTTATTTATATGTATATTAACTTTTTCCTCCTCTGCAAAAGTGATCCAAAACATACGAGACAGAGTCTTGCAGCTTTAGTATCAAAATATCAAAGATACAAAATTACTGGTATATAAAAGGTGTGTGTGTGCATGTGTGCACACATGCTAAATATCAAGTACCTGACATTGACTCAAGCAGCGGAACCCAAGTAGATGAAAACTCTTCCTCCATGGAGGAGAGCAGCCATAATCTTAAACTCCAAGGATGGTTACAACTCATGAAGTGATAAGCAGATTCTTCCCCTTGTTCCATTTATTGGGACATCTACATGTGTGTCCAGCATTAGACCCGGTATTGAGTTCTTTGAACACAATGACCTGTCTGTATAACAGCAGGCACTGGTGCCCAAGATCACATAGCAAGCAACTGCCTTCTTATTGATAAGGCATCATGTGTAGACAGTGTATGCTACAATCAGAGATGCCTCTACCATTAATAACTTTCCCTCTTGTCAGTAAAATCTTCCATCCTTTTGGATTATAAAAGATCATTAAAAGCAAGCTGCAAAGTCACATTTGGCCTCAGAATCTGCTAGATCAGGGTTTCTCCAACCCCAGAATCTTCTTAAAATGAAGGTCCTACTTCAGAAGGTTCAGGAAGGAAGGCAAAGGGCCTTCAACCTGTTCCCAGTGTGGCTGATTCCATGGAGTTCTATTGCTGATGACGGATTGAAAGGCATATAAGAGTAAGGTGCACGAAGACCAAGCAGAGCACTTGCTTCACAGCTTTAAGCTCGTTCAAAGAGAACAACAGCAGTAAACATCCAACTCAACTAAGCGCTCACTGTTTGGGGATTTCTCTATGCAATCACACCTATCAAACATGGAGAGGTATTCTCTCCAAGGTGTGATTAGTGCACTGCAGATTTCTGGCCTCAACCAAGCCCCAAACCAACATGTCATAGTTAAAAAAAAAAAAATTCTCTCATCTAAAGCAGTATTGCAAGAGATTCCTACTGGCCCACAATTTTAAACAATATTGGCTTATGCACAGAAGGGAAAATTTTAATTAGGTACTATGGAGTTAAATGAACATACAGCTTACCTATTAAAGGTCTCTATCTGTGGGCTGTTCACTACAGCTAGGCAGAGCAGGCAATGACCCACGGTTGGGTGCATCTCATAGCAGCTTTGAGAAAAATCAATTACTGGCAATCAGCTGCTGAGAATCCATTTCTGCTCTCAGACTGGATTTCATACTGTATCCTGGGGAATTCAGAGAGTAAATGCAGTGAGTGCTAACTCAAGATTTCAGAAACATACTAATCCCCTCAACAGTGCCCAAACTTTTATCATTTGGGGTCCATACATGCATGAAATGAACACATGGATGAATCAGAGGAAAGCCGAGCCAAGTGAAAACTCAAGGCCACAATTAAATGCTTCCATTTCAGAAAATGCACTGATTGGCGCATTTTCATTTTAATTTTCTTTGCACCTTTTCTAAACCTGGACTTGATTGTACGTGTATGCACGTGTGCCTGGGTGTATGCAGATACCCCTAGAGGTCAGAGAAGGATATCACACCCCTGATACTCTGAAGCTACAGATACTTGTGTGCCACCTATGGATGCTGGGTACTGAACCCAGGTCCTCTGTAAGAGCAGCAAATGCTCTTGGCCGCAGTCATCTCTCCAGCCATTTTGTGTGTCTTTATTTCTAACTATATTTTAATTTCCTTTGAAGTTGTCTTTAGTACAGACTGGGAGTTTGCCACTCAACTGTATAGCTCAGATAGGGTCACTCCTTTGGCTATTGGGGTGGGGTGGGGTCACAATGGCTCAGGGCTGGAAACTGAACTCAGAGTCTCCTGCCAGCTAAGCTAATCCCCTACTGCTGAGCTGTATCACAGCCTTCTTGTAGGTCTGTAT